GACAGAGGAAAAGGCTGTGCAGGCTTCCAGAGGATGGGGGTGGGGCAAGTTGGTCTCAGTATCCTAGCTCTTCTTGGTCACGTGATTTGTGCTAGTCAGTAGCATAAAACAATTTGATAATCATTTTCAGTGTTGACTGTGACTGTTTACTCTCGTATTAAGGCCTGAGACTACATGAACCAAACAGCAGCAATGCAAGCCATTGCAGTACCATCAACACCCAGCCAACTCCTAAACATGTGAGACCAGTTCAGATCAGCTGAGCCCTACAATATCATGAGGTAACCAAATGCTTTTTGTTTTAAAACTAATAAGCCCATATAATTGCTTCTGCACAATTATTGTGACAATAGACAGCTGATACATTTTTTGAGATGTATTTATATTTGAAAGGCAACAGTGAAAGGCACAATTGCAAGGAAGGCAGGAGGAAGAGAGAGAAAGAGAGCTTTTTCAACTGCTGGTTCATTTCCCAAATGGTTACAATGGCTAGAGATGGACTGGTCCAAACCAGGAGCCAGAAGCTTCTTCCAAGTCTCCCATGCAGATATAAGGGCCCAGAAAATGGGCCCTGAAAACTATACAGAACTCCACATGGGTGGCAGGGACTCAAGCCTTGGGCCATATTCCATTGTCTTCCTGGTTGTATTTAACTGAGAGCTAGATCAGGGGTAGAGCAACTAGGTCTAGACCTGGTGACCTGATGTGGCATTCTGGTGTTGTAAGCTGTGACTTAATCTGACTCAACTCCCACCATTGCAGCCACTTCAGGAGTGAATCAGTAAACGAAAAATCTTTCTATCTCTTCTTCTTTCTGTAAATCTGACTTTCCAATGAAAATTTTTAAAAAATCAATCTCAGAAAAAGAGAAAGAAACTGCTATGAAGAACTAGACACTAATAATCTGAAAAACTTTAAAGACATAGGTAAGTTCCTGGAATCTATAGACTATCAAGATTAAATCACTACTAGACAGGCTAAATAGACCATAAAAAGCAATGAGATTGAAGCAATAATCAGAAGTTTTCCATCAAGGAAAAGTCCAGAACCTGATGGCTTTCCTACTGAACTCTACAAAACATTCAAAGAACTCCAATAATCTTCAAATTATTCCAAACCATTTAGCAGGATGGAACTCTGCCCAACTCTAGATGCAAATATTTTCAACAAGATACTAGCATGAGCTGACATGATGACTCTTTTGGCTAATTCTCCGCCTGCAAGTGCTGGCATCCCGTAATGGTACCAGTTTGTGTCCTGGCTGCTGGACTTCTGGTCCAGCTCTCTCTATATGGGAAAGCAGTGGAGGATGGCCCAAAGCCTTGGGACCCTGCACCCACTTTGGAGCCCCAAAAGAAGTTCCTGGATTATGGCTGCAGATCAGTTCAGCTTTGAGTATTAGATCATTTGGTTAGTGAACCAGTCAATGGAGGACCTCTCTGTTTGTCTCTCCCTCTCTCTAGCTCTGACTTTCAAGAAAAACATAAATAAATCTTTTTTTAAAGTGAATACAAAGCCAAAGAAGCTGAGAATATATACATAATTTCTATTTATCATTTGCTTTCCTAGTCACCCAAGTTCATAAACATTATTCAGTCATTTAGATTCTAAAATAATGCCCATTCTTTTTCCCCCTCTTCCCTCTGTCCCTAACCAATGATATTACTATAAAAATGTTTGCCAAAACTGGAAATAACCAAGCACTCAAGAGGACAGTTTTGTGGAACATCAATGCTCTCTTCTGGCTTTCATTGACTTGTTAGGGGAAATGAATTCATCCTTCTTGATTCATTTCCAGAACACACATTCAGACACACAGAGCTCAAACTCAAGGTGATAGTGCACTTGGAGAATTTGTGTCTGTATTTTTTTCTGTAATGATTTTCTCAATCTTGGCTCAATCTTTCAAACTCATTTCTTGATGGTTGAGTGCAATGTCATTTTGCAATCAACCTAGAGTGGAGTATGAGCATGAGAGTTTATCAAGATAAATTGGGAACTAGGTAAGGGCAATACATTATTTACTCTCCATTTACTATTCTTCCATGCTGTAAGTTATGAAAAACAGGTGATTTCAATTTGAACATGTGAGGGCATTTCAAAAAAATTCATGGAAAAATGCATGTTTATCTGATCATAAGAAGCAGAAACAAAGACGAATACTTCAATCTCTGTCTTCATGTGGTCCTCTTTTTTGTGTGTGGGTCTAAATTTCCTCTTCCTAGGTCAACAGTCTCAAATATTTCATTTTATCTTGATCATATCTTTTTTAAAGATTTAATTAATTAATTAAAAATTCTGGTTTACAAAGAGAGAAAAAAACAGAAGGAGAGATTATTCATCTGCTGGTCTACTCCTCAGATGACAAAAAATTGTTATTGCTGTGCAAAGCCTGTAACGCAGAGCCTAGAAATTCATGCAAGTCTCCCACAAGGGTGCTGGTGCCCAAGCATTTGGGTGACAATGTGCTGCTTTTCTGGGGTCATTAGCAAGGAACTGGATTGGAAGTAGGGCAGCTGGAACATGAACCAGCACCCATATAGGATGCCAATATGTAGTATTTCCTACTATGCCACAACATGAGCCCTTTATCACTTCTGTCAAGAACAAATACAGCAAAGGAACAAGATGGCAGGATATGATGAGGACATGTTTAAATGCATGGAGAGTCATTACGAAGAATTAAATAGAGGGGCCATGATCCTGGGAAATAGAAGAGGACTGGCCAATGGTAGAGGGACAGATACCACACTGGTGGTTGATGATCATAGCTCCACTGTGTGCGAAGCGGATGTTGCCAGGAGCTCAAAAGGTAAACCCAGGCATAGAACTGCCCATCCTGCTGATTGCTTGTTTTGACAATGAGCAGAAGTAAAGTGGGAGAGCCCAAGAAGGTGGGTACAGGAACAGGGTAAATTTCACAGCTCAGATCTCCACCAGTGCCCCATCAGGTGCCATTTTGTGCACTGAGGAAAAGACTGAGGGATTAGAGGGACAACAGTGACCTGCACATGTTCTAAGCCACTAGCCAGCTCATTTCGGGCCTAACACATTACATTGGTGCCACAGGGAATATGGTACCAATTTGGAATCCTACAGGTTCCACCCAAGATAGAACCAGGTGGTCCCCAGACCTGAGGGAGAGCAGGTCCAGACCCTCACCAGTGCCACATCAGGCACTATTTTGTGTACTGAGGAAAAGGCTGTGGAAGGGGTTTGGGAATAACAGTGAGCTCCACATGCACCAAACTGGGAAAGAACCTACATCAATACAATGCATTGCACTGGTTCCACAAGAAAAACAGTACCAACTTGGCATTCTGCAGGTTCCTCTCAAAATAGGTCCAGATGGTCTCTAGACCTAAGAGTCAGTAGGCTGAGAACTCCACGAGTGCCACATCAAGTGGCATACTGTATGACAGTATGTATACTGAGTATATATTTTGTATGCTGAGAAGTCTGTGGGGCTGTTGGCACAACAGTGGGCTACATAGGCACTGAGCCAGGAGAGAATTCAGTTCTGGCTCAACACATTGCACTGGTCTCACATGGAAAATAGCAGTGACTTGATATCCTATGGATCCCAATCAACATAGGTCCAGGATGTCTTCAGACCTAACGGCCAGCAGATTCTAGCAAGATCAACAGCCCGACAACCCAGTGATTTAGGATAGCTGGTGTCTCCATAATTGCAGATACTTCTTGAACCGAGAGTGGGAAAAAGGCTGTGCAAGCAATGGTGCAGTCATAGCACAGGATCACAGAGGATGGAAAGTGGTGAGCCAGGAGCTGGGGCTACAGAGACTGTGATGGAAACTTGGCACACAAGCCTGGAACTGAAACTCACTGGAGGCAGTGGTATAAGTGACTGCAAATGAATAACTGGATACCAAACACAACCAGTAACATCGACCTGCAGACCAGTGGGCAACACAACTTGGAAACCTGCCCTAAGGAGAGGAATATGCTAACCAGAATAGCAACGGCCAAGAGCAAAAGAACAGGCACAATCAATACTACTGATGCCTGTCCTGCAAGGGAGCAGTCTTTGCCAGCCTTAGAGTTAACTTCGGAATACGTCAAGAAAATGGAGGATAAAGAATTTTAAAACTTGTTAAAGCTTCTTAGCAACATTGAGAAGCACATACAGGAGTTCAGGGAATTTAAAGCATATGTCACGCAGGTCATGGAAACACTGAAATAAAATGAAGCTCAATTATTCGAAATGAAGGACACAATGGAGCAAATTTAAAATTTAGGGAAAAGCCTCAATAATAGAATGAGTGGGGCAGAAGAAAGCATTTCAGAATTGGAAGTTCCTTCCTTCAACAGTTGGGAGAAAAAAAATCAAAAACTTGGAAGCGGGCCCGGCGCAGTGGTCTAGCAGCTAAAGTCCTCACCTTGAATGTGCCCGATCCCATATGGGCACCAGTCTTAATCCCGGCAGCTCCACTTCTCATCCAGCTCCCTGCTTGTGGCTTGGGAAACTGCATCTGTGTGGGAGACCTGGAGGAAGTTCCTGGCTCCTGGCTTTGGATCGGCACAACACCAGCCATTGCAGTTACTTCAGGAGTGAATCATTGGATGGAAGATCTTCGTCTCTGTCTCTCCTCCTCTCTGTATATCCGACTTTGCAATAAAAATAAATATTTTTTTTAAAAAGCTGGAAGAGGAACATAGTCAAGCTAAATGAAAGTATTCAAGAATAATGGACACTATCAAAAGGCTAAATATAAGAATTATGGAAGTTCCAAAAGCATGGAAAGAGAATCTGGTTTAAACTATATTCAATGAAATAATAAAGGAAACTCCCCCAATTTGGGGAAAGAATTGGGAAGCAAAACACAGGAGGGGGCGCAGAACTCTCAAAGGTGTTGACCAAAAGCAATCTTTACAACACATGATAATCAAGATCTCTTTAGTTGAACACTGGAGAAGATCTGTAAAAATGCATGTGAAAAAAATCAATTAACATTTAGAGGAACCCCAATGAGACTCACCACTGAATTCTCATAGGAAACTCTACAAGCCAGAAGAGAATGGAGTGATATTACAGATACTTAAAAAAAATAAAAAGAGTCAGGCCAGAATCATTTACCCAGTAAAGCTTTCCTTTGTCTTTTAAAAATGAAAGGAAATTCTTCCACACTAAAGAAAAGTTCAAAAATTTGCCTCTTCCAGAAGTGCCCTACAAATTATTCTTAAAGATGTTCTATTGACAGAGAAAAGGAATAGCACCTAGAACATATGAATAAAACAGCAAAAGAAGACTAAATCAAACAACAAAAAACTCATTGCTAAAATCACAGAACCAAATTGCTGCTTATTGATATTAACCCTGAATGTTAATGGCCTAAACTTATTAATCTAGCATCATAGACTAGCAAACTGAATCAAAAAACAAAACCCATTTATCTGTTGCCTACAGAAGACACATCTCATCAACAAAAATAAGCAGAAACTGAAAGTGGAAGGATGGAAAAAGATAGTCCAGGCTAATGGGAAATAAAAATGAGCTTGGGTAATCATTGTTATATCTGATAATATAGACTTTGACATGAAAAATTAAAAGAGATGATGAAAAACACCACATAATGATCAATGGATCCATTCAACAAGAAGAGATCACCTTATTATTTTCTTGTGATGTCTTCTTTTTCATCTCTAATTTACTTGTTTTTTCTCTCTTGCTTTGCTTTGCTGGTCTGGCTAAAAATTGGTTTTGCTGATTTCCTTAAAAATGGCTCACTCTTGTTGCAGTTTGCAGATTTAGTTTCGATTCCATTTGTTTTTGCTGTGATTGTTATCATTTCTTGCTTCCTGTTCATTTTTCTTTTTTAATAAGTCCTTGAGATGCATTATTAGATCATTTATTTGAGGTAACTACATTTTTTGTTAGCACCTGATGTTATGAATGTCCCTCTATATACTTTTTTTTTGCTACATTTCAGGGGCTTAAAACTCCTATTTTCATATCTTCAAATTTTTTTTGTCCTTATTAATTTCTTCGATGACATAAAGGTCACACAGTTGCATCATTTTCTTCAAGAAGGTGTTTTATTTTCTTTTTCATTTCTTTAGTGTCACATTGGTCACTCAGTAGCATGTAATTTAACTTTATGTTGTTGTAAACTTTCTATTCTTCCCCATGTTGATTTTGTTTTATGGCTTTTCATTTAAGGAGATAGATATCAACTGTGTAATAGAGACTATATATATCCAGATGTGAGGATACAATTCAGTATGCATCTCTAGTTGCAGGTCAAAGATGGACTCTCAATGAAACTCGCAAATATATCTTGACAATTGGATGCTGGACTCTTTGTTCACGCTAACAATGTCAGGACACACTTAAATAGCAGAATGATGGACTTATGACCGATTGTGAAGGACTACACTATGGTAATAACATAGGGAGAATCTTTTTGGGAGTGTGGGTAGAGGACTTGGAGAGGGGAAAGGGAAATCCCAGAGTCTATGGAACTGTACCATAAAATGGTAGATTAATTAATTAATTAACTTTAAAAAAGAACCAATACAAATACAGTCACATAATAAGATAATGGGGATTAGGACTTTAACTTATAAATTTGGGGGAATATAATTCAGCCTATAACACAAAAATACAGGGGGAAAATAGAAAGATAAGAACACATGATTAATCACCCCAAGAAAGCAGAGGATAGCAAAAGAGTTCTAATGCCTAGGGGACCACTATGTCCTACAGCTGGGAACACGGGGAGAAAAGAAATGAAGCAATAAATCATTTATTCACAAGATACCAGAAACACTGTGCCTTGGCACTATGGAGTTTTCACAGGCCAATGAAAAATATTCAAGAAGTTAAAATTCATGGTTTCTGGGTTGCCTGGTGACTCAGTGGCTAAATCCTTGCCTTCTAAGTGCCAGGATCCCGTATGAGCACCAGCTCTTGATCCAGCTGTTCCACTTCCCATCAGCTCCCTTCTTGTGGCCTGTGAATACAGTAGAGGATGGCCCAAAGTCTTGGGATGCTGCACCCATGTGGGAGACCTGGACGCTGACTTCTGGATTCAGATTGACTCAACTCCACTTATTGTAGCCCCTTGAGGAATGAACTAGAAGTCAGAAGATCTCTCTGCCTCTGTAAAATTTGTCTTTCCAAAAAATAAACATAACTTTTAAAAAAGAAAAATTTAAAGATTCACAAGTATAAAAGCTGTGATAATAACAGCATAAACTATAATGAACTCCACATTTTACCTTTCCCCTTATCATTTCATCTTCAAAAATGTCACTATCTTTGTAAAACATAGATCTAATAAGGTCAATTAAATGCTCTAATTGCTCCTCACTGTCTCCAGGAAGAGGATTCCAATGTTCACAATGGCATAAAGCATATTTTATTTCTCACACACTCAACCCTGAGTCACTTTACCCTGCTCCATTCTTCTCCTGCCTCTATGCCTTTGACCTTGGAGTTTTTGGAGAAAAAGCCCACTACCTCTTGAAGGTTACAAGTAAAGCTCCACCTTTCAAATTCCAGCTTCAACACCACCTCTGCTGCAGAGTCTTCAATGAGACCATGTTAACTACTTCTCTGTCTTCCAGAACACACCATTCTCACATTTTAAAGTATTTATAGCCATGTAATTCATAAACACACCATGAAACTGTACTTTCTTGGCCCTGTAACCCACAACCACAATCTTGTCCACCTCTGTTTCTCACCAATGTTTGGTGTTTAAATGATAGTTTAAATATACATATTAAATAATAAATGAATATATAACAGTTAGTATTTTTTAATTTATACAGACTTTACACTCTAGACCTTTACCTGCCCCCCAGACCTCAAACATTCCTTATAGGGGTTCATGTTTATGGTGCCAGTCAGAAGGTATGAGAGCTGGCAAACAGCTTAAATAATGATTAACTCTCTCCTGTCAATCTCTAGATAAGAAAGGCAGAGCTCAGAGGGAATAGAAAAGGATTTATTGATCCAGTCACACACACACACACACACACACACACACACACACACACACACACACATCATTTTCAGCCTTCACATAAAATATGTATCTCAGGTTACTATGAATTTTTAAATTAAGAAAATATTTTTGAAAAGGGTTGTTTAATATCTTGCATAGTTACATATGGAACTGGGTTTCACACCCTGTCCCAATCATCACAGCAAAGTCCATTTCTTTCCAGTGCATTTCTCACCTGTTTTTCTCCTCACTTCCATTACTAATGCCACTTTTGACTTTTAATTTATCCTGGCTTTATCCAATTTGAAAAAGAGTTGTCTGACTTGAGGGAGAGATAAGGATTTGAGTAAAGTTTTGGTACTTGCAAAGAAAAGGGATGTCAGTGAAGTTAGGATTGAAGTGAGGACAGGCTTTGTTAACCATATAGACATGAGATCAATCCATAACTTCATGTTTGATTTAGAATGTCATCAGGACCGAATTCCTAATAGGCCAAGAGTCAGTGTGCCCAATAAGACTATGATGAATATCAATAGTATTTATAGATACAAAGCTCATATAATAGTGGGTCTATCAACCATATCTTCCTTATTTTTTTCATGAGATCTGGGACAACAGACTTCACCAGCAATATTTTGTGGTAAGCATAAAATTTATCCTAAAGCCTCAATAAGATAAGTGAATATAGTTGTTGGTGTTTGGTCCAAATTTTGGCCCCTCCACTTTAATCAAGCTTCCTGCTAATCTGTACTTGGGTCCCTTCTATCATGTGGGAGACTCAAATGGAGTTCCAGTCTCCAGCTTGATCCAGCCCAATTAGTTATGGGCATTTTGGGAATAAATCAACAGATGGAAGATCTTTTCTTGTCTTTCCATTTCTGTTGGTTTCTCTCTCTCTTTCTCTCTCCATCTTTCAGATAAAATGAAAGTAACATTATTTAAAAAAAAACATTTTCCTTCTGTATGTATTTTAGAATGATTCTCTTAAGTAGATTCAAATTTCATTTTTTAATACAGAAGACCATGCTTTCTCAAAGAAGTTTGAACTAAAATTTGGATATTCCTAATAGATAACAAAAGTAACACATTGTTCTTGTGCTGTTGAGCGAAGGACCACGTCTCAAAAAGTTACGGGCAGCAATAACATCACAGGTCTTTGTACAAAGGAATGAGAAGCAGATATAGATCATAGATGGATATATGGAAAAATAGATATGGCACCAGAAAATCGACATTACAGATGAATGGTTCTGATCAAGATAAGATAACTGGAGAAGGTATTACGGCACATCAAGTTAAGTGGCCGCCTATAACACTGTGAGGATTGGTTCAATTCTTGGCTATTCTACTTCCAATCTAGTTCTCTGCTAATGGGCTTAGGAAAGCAACAGATTATGGGCACAAGTGCTTGGCCCCTAAAATCCTTGTGGAAAACCAGATGGAATTCCTGGTTCCTGGCTTCAACCTAGCTTAGTCTTGGCTATTGTGGGCATTTGGGAAGTGATTCAACATACAGATTTCAGCATCTATCTTTCTCTATCCCTCCTCCTTTCCTCCTTTTCTGTCTCTATCTCTCTTTCAAATAGATAAATAAATAGGTTTTAAAAAGAGAAAAGGCAATGTCTACCTGAAGCTTTCCCAAAAAAGTCAGCCACAGAAAATGTATAACCAGAAAGATTCACATAAAAGAGAAGGGCCTGACACCTTGGAAATGGCCAATGCAAGTAACACACCCACCAACACTCAAAAAAAAAACAGCTCTTTTTATGACAAAATGATAATAGAATCTGATCATTCCAGCTAGCAGTGAAGCTACCAAAATGTAGAGAACTTGTGTATTCAAGCTTACAAATAAATGCTATATCATTCTGCTACATAAAATGTGATCTATTTGCATGGTAGCCACCTTATATATTATTAGCTAACACAAGTTTAATATCCTTAAAATGGTATACTAAAAAGGGCATGAACATTATCCCCCAGAAATACTGACTATGAAAGACCACCACCACAGTTCTGTCAAAAGGCCAGTGAGTACAGATCACATAACGGTGGTGGTTATAC